ACCTTTCACTCTGAACAACACTGATAACAGATTCAAGCCCATTAACACTACAACTGACAGCGCGGGTTGTTGTATACTTGCCTAAAACCACCTGCAGGTTAAATATACCCATTTATACCATAACTGTTTGATATTATAAAAAAGGGATTATGTATCGGTTTATACAGTATTTAATGCAAGTACATTAGAAGTAAACAAAAAATGAACAATAATCCTTTACTTTTTCAGTGGAGGAGTAGTTTAATAACAGTGACTAGTTATGGCTCATAAAAATTATTATTGTTTTTTATATTTTTACTTCATCAATCAGCATCGCTCATGTCATTCAGTGCCTTCAATGTCTGTTTGACATCCCTAAATTGCCTTTTTTATGTCTTGAGACTAAAACTGATTGCCTTTATCTCATTGGTTGAAAGTACTAAAACAACTGGCAGGATAAGCATTAAAATGACTGCCACTTATAGTTATAAATGCCCTATTTTTATTTATTTTTTGCTTTAATCTAAGCAATTTATTACAACAGGGTAACTACATTTTCTGGTTGAGGTACAAGATGTAACACTTTTGCCGTGTGTTGTTTCTCAGGCCCGGTCCTTAGCGCTGCCTTCAGACTACCTGACAACACCTGCAAACAGAAATAAGAAGGTAGAGTCATTTTAACACACTGAGTAATGGGTTTTAAGAGTAAATTGTATTTTTTAAGGAATTGTAAAATATTGTAAAAGTACAACGCGCCTATCATTTCTGCATGATTTCAAGGTGCCTTCTAAAAACAGCCGATTCTCTCATGCTGCGTAATATCATTCCGCCTGGTGCATGCATGGTACAGCAGCAGAGCTTCTTGACTATTACGCCAGAATGAGAGTATAGTTTCTAGCAATATTGGCCTAGGAAACAATCATTTTTCATTTTCCATGTTTTATTACATGATGTAACTACATAAGACTCAAGCTTTAAATGGGAAATGATCAAAACTTTTTTTGGATTTTTTTTTATTAAATGCTAATGGTCTAATCCGATTCAGTTCATCATGCTAAGCTAAGCTAAAAGTGCAAACAATCAGCTGACTGGATTCAAAAAATGGTTCGAGTCAACTGTTTAAGTCTAGTAGACTAGACCTAGTCTAGACTAGTCTAGTATTGAGCTTTTTTTTCTTTCTTTTTTTAAAGGTGCAGTGCAGTTCCTTTAAGGTGAACATTTAAGTTGTGCAAATTAATCCATTTAAGAAAAAAAAAAAACCTCTGTGGTTTGTTTTGGTAATTTTAAATCAAAATCCATACATTTGCTTCTGCTCTAGAATTGTGGTCCTTATCTTATGATGTCAGTTTGATGGGTTGGGTGAAATATGCTTAACCACACCCCAACACCTTTTTTAGAATTGTAAACAATGTTTACAATTAGTTTAAACACATCTGCACTGCCATTCACTTATTCGCTGAACAAATGTCAAAATATATCTAATACATTATTAGTTTAAATTAAATTGTGAGGAATAAAAAAAGACACGCACTTAAAAAGAAATGCACTTAAGGACACATACAAAAAGTCAGTTTGTACAGGAAAGTACAAAGGAAAGTACAGATACTTCTGTACAGTAAACAAGGAAGTTATTTTAAAATCTTACAGTCCCGATCCCAGAATACTGTTAATAATAATTTTATGCACTATGCCATGGTCATAGAATGTTTGCTGATGTTGATTTTTTTTTTTCCTCTGATAAATATGAAATATTATTATTATTTACTCTCTCAGAAGCCGTCCTGGTGGCCTTTTGATGTGTCTCTTGGAACTGTGGCCTTTGCTGTGGTTTGGCCGTTTGTGGTGCAGTGGCTCATTCGTGTGTATGTGCAGCGCAGGAGAAGGTAAACCATCAAAGCTGAAATACAACACATTATCAATGGTTAGATACATTTTGAATAAATTCAGTGGTGAAATACCAAATAAATCCAAATAGTAAGGATGGGACAATAAATTGATGCATTGTGAATCAAGAATCTATTCTGTGATTTGATAAATGCATTGCGTTTCTTTCTGAATCGATTCTGCGCTTAGTTTTTACCAACAGATTTTACTGTGTACTTTACAAACAGCCAGTCCACATACCATTTGAACCGAAAGTAATCATTATGTACCATCTGCTGTTAAAAACTAGCCTAGAGCGCCATCTGCTGTTTAAAAACTAGCCTAGAGCGCCATCTGCTGGTAAAAACTAGCCTAGAGCGCCACCTGCTGGTAAAAACTAGCCTAGAGCGCCATCTGCTGTTTAAAAACTAGCCTAGAACGCCATCTGCTGTTTAAAAACTAGCCTAGAGCGCCATCTGCTGGTAAAAACTAGCCTAGAGCGACATCTGCTGGTAAAAACTAGCCTAGAGCGACATCTGCTGTTAAAAACTAGCCTAGAGCGACATCTGCTATTAAAAACTAGCCTAGAACGCCATCTGCTGTTTAAAAACTAGCCTAGAGCGCCATCTGCTAGTTAAAACTAGCCTAGAGCGACATCTGCTGTTAAAAGACTAGCCTAGAGCAATATCTGCTATTAAAAACTAGCCTAGAGCGCCATCTGCTGGTAAAAACTAGCCTAGAGCGCCATCAGCTGTTATAAACTAGACTAGAGCGCCATCTGCTGGTAAAAACTAGCCTAGAGCGATATCTGCTATTAAAAACTAGCCTAGAGCGCCATCTGCTGTTAAAAACTAGCCTAGAGCTCCATCTGCTGTTGAAATCTAGCTTATTATGCTGTCTGTTGTTAAAATTAGCATAGAAGGCTGTCTGTTATTAAAACTAGCCTAGCTGTTAAAAGCTAAGATCAGAATTGATTCCAGAGATAACAATGATGCATTCCAAACATCTCAAAATCGATCCACAAAATCCAAGACGTGAATTTATCCTCCCAGCTCTCTGCCTAACAGCCAGATCTGCTTGTAAAAGTGTTGATGTTAAACACTGAATCATCTCGTTGCAGAAGAATCAACTGAAGCAAATCTCCTGCTGGTTTTCTGGAGATGCTACGTGTATAGGAGGAGGGAGGAGGCCGTGTTTTCTGCCTGTCCTGTAACTTTTGCACTAAGATGACGACTCTAAGAATCCGCAAATGAAAAGACAGACTGAATGTACGGCACTGCAGCTTACCACAACTTTTCTTTTGTACTTTTTTTAATGCAACTAAATTGACAAAACCCTAATTTAGGTCATTTAAAAGTAGAACTGCAGTTAACAGACATCCATTATTAAGGGCATTACATAGTTCACGTCAAATATATACCGTTCAATGTCCTGCGCACATACAGTAGCTGCTAATTGTCGTTAATACTGTAGCAAAGCGTAAGATGCACTGAGTACTTTATAGGTGATTATTACTCCGATTCTTGGCACAATTAGGACCTTGAATCGTAATGCAACGAAATCAGGACCACCACAATTGCTAGTAATGATAATAGTAACGTTTTTTATTAAAAGATACATGTTAATATCTAGACTTGGGGTTCGCTCAAGTGAAATGCGGTGCTGATCAAAGCCATGAATGCTTATGTAACTGACACTTTCCTTTGCAAATGTGTAGAGAGTTAAGTTCTTTGTCTGCTTAATATCAATGATGTCTCACATATCTGACTTAAGAGTGTGTGGACACTGCATATTAAACATCACTGCATTAGATGTAAAATATTGAAGTGCTATTTAATTAAACAAGCACACTTATCAAGCAAAAAAAATCTGCTTAAGTGCGTTTTCAAAGGGATAGTTCACACAAAAATGAAAATTCTGTCTTTTTTTTACTTGCTCCGCATTGTTTATTTCTTTTGTTGAACACAGAGAAAGATATAATGAAGATTATTAGAAAAAAAAGCCATTTATGGAGTAATTTTAGTTCCTACTATGGCTACAATGAGTTTTTCCTCCCAACATTTGTGTTTTGAACCACTTAAGTGTAAGGAAATTCATTTTTGGGTGGTCTATCCATTTAACGAACACTAGCGTGACTAAAGTGTGCTAATATTTTTGGGATCGACTGTATTTTACACATTGAAACATTTCACAGTAGGTTACTAATGTTAATTTATGGCTGCGGTGAATAATCGAACGCTAGTGTAGGGATTGTTTGCATGTGAAATCCAAAACCTTTTGGTCAATGTTTGCAGGGCTGAGATCGAAACTACGTGGTTGATTTGAAAAGCACTTTGGATGAACGTGAAGAAGGTGAAATCATCTAGGTAATGTTCAAGGCTGAAATCTAACGAATATTTTACGTTTTTTTTTTACTAAACCGAGAAATGTGAGCGTTTTGTTTAATTGTAGTTTCTGTAAATTAGTCGTTAATTCCTTTATTAATTGTATATTAGAGATGTGCAAATATATATAAACATGAAAAGGTCTATTTTAATTGTACTATACTATAATGTAGCATATTATTCATGTCTGTAATACTGCTTCGATTCGTTTATATATCCGGAGAGGTTGTTGATTTAATGCTTTTGTTTGTATTAAACGCACTTAAAAATCACCGTAGCAGATTCTGCGTAAATGTGAGCTATGCATGTTTGGCCATTGTCATAATACACGTCAAACAGTATGTGAGACTTGAGCATCATTAAAAGCTTTTGAAAATTCTCATGTTGGACGTTTAGTTCGTACTGTTCCAGTGTTTTTCTTTTCCTTTGATGATGGCGATCAAAGCACGTTAGTGTTGAACGTTACGCCCCATTTACACGGGGCTTCAGCGTCAATGCTTGACTGAAGGCGTGTCTGAAGTTGGGGCTAACATGATCGTCATAGCAGCGTCAGCCAATGAAAATCAGTCAGCAGTAGGCCACTGTCTAGCTGGTGTATTTGAATACAGCGATCTGATTGGCTAAAGCTTCTGTCGGCGCTTGAAAAGTTGAGCTAGTCCCAACTTCTGCAGCACGCAACGCCTCTGAAGTGGCACGGACGTATTCACAATGCAGTTCGGCAATGCCTGACGTCACCCATTCAAAGTAAATGGGAAGCGTTGACGCTGACGCTCAGTGTGAATGGGGCGTTTTTGTAAGACAATGCTTTTGTTGTGCTCTTCTGGCACTTTGCCTAACTGTACGTTCACATCGAAATCGGCGAGAGCGTCAAAGTCGCCTGATGTCATTCATTTTCAATGGGAGCTGATGGCGATAAGCAGCGAGGAGTGCTACATTTTAATTTGAATGAAGGCAGTAAAGACAAAGAAGCTGCTGCAGCTGTGTATAAAATACATTTATTGTTTATTTTATTGAGTGCAGTATTGGACCGGATGTTAATAACCTGGTTTTTATTTGATTCTCATTTTATAAACCCATTATGCTAGCTTACACACTGCATTGTAATGACTTCTTTCTCCAAGTGGTCTAGAAACATTTGTCTGCTGTACCCTAGCTAGTGTGTGTATGTGTGTGTGTGTGTGTGTGTGTGTGTGTGTGTGTGTCTTCAGCTTGTCCAGCTTCACTCAGAGTCTGACAGACGCAGCAGAGGAAGTTCAGGATCAGCATCTGTTCTCCTCAGTTCCTCTGCTACTCCTGCTCTCCGCCTATAAATCATTGACAGCGTTTATCTACACTCATCCTCACAACACAACACAAGCCAAGCCATGACTACTGGACTCAGATCAGTGTAATGTGTCTGGCCACCTGTGCAGTGCAACCAGGGATGACGCTCAAGATCATCTAAACTAGGCCGATCAGCCGGCGCTGCACTGAGACACCAGCGGATCAGCTGACGGCACTCTGAACACACAACAGCGTCTTCAGAAACACACAACAACACACGTCTGCATCTCTGAGTGTGTGTGAATCTCTAACCTGTGGACAGCTGTCTGGGGAAGAGCAGTCTGCTTCTGGACGTGACCCTCCGTGCGCCTCCGAAGGGGAAGCGGTCGCACAGGATGTTGAAGAGCGTCACTCCGACCGACCAGACTGTAGCTGGAGCCGCATGGTAGCGATGTCTGCTGAACCACTCGGGAGGAGCGTATGCAGGAGTGCCTGAGAGACACAAGGAGAGCACAAACACACACTCAGAATGCTGCAGGACAGAGCAATTCTCCTTACTTGACATCACAAACATCAGAACATCTCCTAGAACTCAAACCCACCTGCAAAGTATCTGTAGGCCGAGCTCTTCAGCTGATCTCCACAGCCGAAGTCCAGCAGCTTGATGTCCTGGGTCTCTGTGGAGATCAGCAGGTTCTCCGGCTTGACGTCCCGGTGTAGGACGCCGCGGCTCTCGCAGTGTTTCAGCGCCGCGATCAGCTGCACCAGCACTCTCTTGGCCAGACGCTCATCCAGACAGCCGTTCTCCTCGCAGAAGCTCTGGAGATCTTGGCAGGGGGCCGGACGCTCCAGGATCAGGATGTAGCGTCTGGGACGGTCAAACCAGTCCAGCAGCTGCAGGACACTGGGGCAGGCAGGAGCTGAAGTGACGCGGATCATCAACGCCACCTCCAGCGGCAGCCGACCCTGACCGGCCTGCAGAACAAACACTCCATTACCTCCAGAACTGAAGCAAACACCTCAACAGATTCACACTCGACCTACAACTCTCAGTGTCTCGCAGGTTCGGTCTTTAGAGACGTACTTGATGGCCACCTGCACACAGAACATCGTCATCATTTACTGACATCAACATTTCTAAAGCATGTCTGAGTGAAGGAGGGAGGAAAAAGTCTTACTGGCAGTCCATCAGACCTGCGGATCCCAGCAAACACCGAGCCGAATCCACCTCGTCCCAGCAGCGGGCCCTTCGCATACCCATCTGACACACAAGAAATGAAGAACACATGCAAATCATTTCAGAAGTGAGCCCTAAGATCTGGAAGATGAGCCTGTGCTGACCTCTGCGAGAGCGTTTGGCTGATCTCCGGGATGAGGTGGACCGGGTTTGCTGGCTGTCGATCTGCCTCTTCCTCTTCTTCTGGTCTGTGGACACAGAATCAGCCAACTGGGACGACAGAGGTGCCAAATAACCCGGAAGCTCATCGGTGGCTTCCTGCGTGTCTGTGTCCAGAGCTGCTGTCTGTGTCTCGGGGAAAGCAGCACTCCTGGATCTGGAGCGGCCTGAGGATCAAACATCAAACACACACAGACTGATTATTAATTATTAATTAAACAACACTTAATCTCACTGCTCACTTTATTTTTGACTTTCAATTGATTTTTTCTGTTTTTCCTGTTGTTATTATAATTGTTTTAATGAATAACACTCATGTCACAAACGTTTTTAAGAAATCTTTTATTTGTAACATCATACAATGCCAGTTACAAACAAATGAAAAATGTTAAAGGCTTACCTCGACTTTCACCCACGAGAGCCATGGACAACCTCCAACCTGCAATGAAACAAGAAAATACAGCAAAAGGTATGAAAATAAAAAGTAAAAGGATAGAAAATTAAAAACAAGAACAAAACGAAGTGGAAATTTAAAAAGATCAACAAAATAAGCGATTGTCAAGAAATAATCCAAATTCCTGCAAGAAAATCAAACCAATTAAAGAATTTAAACAAGTTTTCTGTCAGAAATCCTCAAACAGCTTCAGAAATCTCAGAATCCGCTCAGAAATGCTCTGCAAATGTCGCCTCGCCTCAACCAACAGCCTGCAAAAGCTTTCGCGTGTTCATATATCGAGTCAAATCTCAAATCATAACACGCGTTGCCATAGCAACTCCACTTCAAAACCCGCTGTCCTCGCACCTGAGCATGGCAAAACAATATATTCATGCAAACGCATTTAAATATTTTAATATGTTTAAAGCGTTATTAATTTCATTTCTATTAAGGATTTATTCAATGTCAATCACACGCAGTCAATAACGGTCATCATGCTAATAACAAACAAAAACTGAAAGCCATATTTATTATTATTATTATTATACAAGTTATGTTTTTTTAAAAAGCCTAAATTTGCTTTCCCCATAAATTTATTAGGCCAAAGAGCTTATCACCACAATCGAGCGTTTTGTAGAGCTAGATCACGACTTAATAATTAAAAGTTGTTATGTCTTGATCACGACAAAACAACTTTTAATTAAGTCGTGATCACGACATAACAACTTTAATTAAGTCGTGATCACGACATAACAACTCTAATTAAGTCGTGATCACGACAAAACAACTTTAAATAAGTCGTGATCACGACATAACAACTCTGAATAAGTCGTGATCACGACATAACAACTTTAACTAAGTCGTGATCTAGCTCTACAAAACGCTCGATTGTGGTGATAAGCTCTTTGGCCTAATAAATTTATGGGGAAAGCAAATTTAGGCTTTTTAAAAAAACATAACTTGTATAATAATAATAATAATAAATATGGCTTTCAGTTTTTGTTTGTTATTAGCATGATGACCGTTATTGACTGCGTGTGATTGACATTGAATAAATCCTTAATAGAAATGAAATTAATAACGCTTTAAACATATTAAAATATTTAAATGCGTTTGCATGAATATATTGTTTTGCCATGCTCAGGTGCGAGGACAGCGGGTTTTGAAGTGGAGTTGCTATGGCAACGCGTGTTATGATTTGAGATTTGACTCGATATATGAACACGCGAAAGCTTTTGCAGGCTGTTGGTTGAGGCGAGGCGACATTTGCAGAGCATTTCTGAGCGGATTCTGAGATTTCTGAAGCTGTTTGAGGATTTCTGACAGAAAACTTGTTTAAATTCTTTAATTGGTTTGATTTTCTTGCAGGAATTTGGATTATTTCTTGACAATCGCTTATTTTGTTGATCTTTTTAAATTTCCACTTCGTTTTGTTCTTGTTTTTAATTTTCTATCCTTTTACTTTTTATTTTCATACCTTTTGCTGTATTTTCTTGTTTCATTGCAGGTTGGAGGTTGTCCATGGCTCTCGTGGGTGAAAGTCGAGGTAAGCCTTTAACATTTTTCATTTGTTTGTAACTGGCATTGTATGATGTTACAAATAAAAGATTTCTTAAAAACGTTTGTGACATGAGTGTTATTCATTAAAACAATTATAATAACAACAGGAAAAACAGAAAAAATCAATTGAAAGTCAAAAATAAAGTGAGCAGTGAGATTAAGTGTTGTTTAATTAATAATTAATAATCAGTCTGTGTGTGTTTGATGTTTGATCCTCAGGCCGCTCCAGATCCAGGAGTGCTGCTTTCCCCGAGACACAGACAGCAGCTCTGGACACAGACACGCAGGAAGCCACCGATGAGCTTCCGGGTTATTTGGCACCTCTGTCGTCCCAGTTGGCTGATTCTGTGTCCACAGACCAGAAGAAGAGGAAGAGGCAGATCGACAGCCAGCAAACCCGGTCCACCTCATCCCGGAGATCAGCCAAACGCTCTCGCAGAGGTCAGCACAGGCTCATTTTCCAGATCTTAGGGCTCACTTCTGAAATGATTTGCATGTGTTCTTCATTTCTTGTGTGTCAGATGAGTATGTGAAGGGCCCGCTGCTGGGACGAGGTGGATTCGGCTCGGTGTTTGCTGGGATCCGCAGGTCTGATGGACTGCCAGTAAGACTTTTTCCTCCCTCCTTCACTCAGACATGCTTTAGAAATGTTGATGTCAGTAAATGATGACGCTGTTCTGTGTGCAGGTGGCCATCAAGTACGTCTCTAAAGACCGAACCTGCGAGACACTGAGAGTTGTAGGTCGAGTGTGAATCTGTTGAGGGGTTTGCTTCAGTTCTGGAGGTAATGGAGTGTTTGTTCTGCAGGACGGTCAGGGTCGGCTGCCGCTGGAGGTGGCGTTGATGATCCGTGTCACTTCAGCTCCCGCCTGCCCCAGTGTCCTGCAGCTGCTGGACTGGTTTGACCGTCCCAGACGCTACGTCCTGATCCTGGAGCGTCCGGCCCCCTGCCAAGATCTCCAGAGCTTCTGCGAGGAGAACGGCTGTCTGGACGAGCGTCTGGCCAAGAGAGTGCTGGTGCAGCTGATCGCGGCGCTGAAACACTGCGAGAGCCGCGGCGTCCTGCACCGGGACGTCAAGCCGGAGAACCTGCTGATCTCCACAGAGACCCAGGACATCAAGCTGCTGGACTTCGGCTGTGGAGATCAGCTGAAGAGCTCGGCCTACAGATACTTTGCAGGTGGGTTTGAGTTCTAGGAGATGTTCTGATGTTTGTGATGCCAAGTAAGGAGAATTGCTCTGTCCTGCAGCATTCTGAGTGTGTGTTTGTGCTCTCCTTGTGTCTCTCAGGCACTCCTGCATACGCTCCTCCCGAGTGGTTCAGAAGACATCGCTACCATGCGGCTCCAGCTACAGTCTGGTCGGTCGGAGTGACGCTCTTCAACATCCTGTGCGACCGCTTCCCCTTCAGAGGCGCACGGAGGGTCACGTCCAGAAGCAGACTGCTCTTCCCCAGACAGCTGTCCACAGGTTAGAGATTTACACACACTCAGAGATGCAGACGTGTGTTGTTGTGTGTTTCTGAAGACGCTGTTGTGTGTTCAGAGTGCCGTCAGCTGATCCGCTGGTGTCTCAGTGCAGCGCCGGCTGATCGGCCTAGTTTAGATGATCTTGAGCGTCATCCCTGGTTGCACTGCACAGGTGGCCAGACACATTACACTGATCTGAGTCCAGTAGTCATGGCTTGGGTTGTGTTGTGAGGATGAGTGTAGATAAACGCTGTCAATGATTTATAGGCGGAGAGCAGGAGTAGCAGAGGAACTGAGGAGAACAGATGCTGATCCCGAACTTCCTCTGCTGCGTCTGTCAGACTCTGAGTGAAGCTGGACAAGCTGAAGACACACACACACACACACACACACACACACACACACACACACACACACACACACACACACACACACACACACACTAGCTAGTGTACAGTAGACAAATGTTTCTAGACCACTTGGAGAAAGAAGTCATTACTATGCAGAGTGTAAACTAACATAATGTGTTTATAAAATGAAAATCAAATAAAAACCAGGTTATTAACATCCGGTCCAATACTGCACTCAATAAAATAAACAATAAATGTATTTTATACACAGCTGCAGCAGCTTCTTTGTCTTTTCTACCCTAATTTAAATTAAAATGTAGCATTTCACAATTATAATTCAATAGACTGATTTCACACGGCTGCCATTACAAGAGTGAAATCAAGGCTGCGGTGAGAAGAAACCCGGAAGTATCGCATGAGTCACAGAGGAATGTTGTGTACCTGGCTGTATATCTTATCAGCGTAAAGAAAGCTACACACATTTATCATTTCACTGTCTTCCGAGTGACCCGAAGGTCCGTTCTGAATAGAAAGTGAAAATAAAAAAGGATATCAGACCTCATTTTCAGCTAAGTTAAGAGAAATGCCACTGGTTAGCTAACGTTTTCTTTCTCAAATACACCAAAGTCAAACATCAAACTAAAGTTAATGAACTGATTCATTCAGTTGTCAAGATGCTGAATTTCAATACTGGAATTTATAAACACTGTCAATTTCCCACTAATATTTAAGCAATGTTGAACGCAACACCACTGATTTGCTATGGTGTTCACCTGTGCTCAACAGAAATGACTGTGATTGGCCTTTGAGGTCACCAGTTCACCCACCGCACTTCACTGATGTACTGAGTGCAAACACAGACGATCGATCCGCTGATGACTTAACTGATCTTTGCATCTTTAAAACGCTCCAGCCTTCGTGCATCCGTGTTAGCACTCGGTGAAGTGTGGTGAACTGCTGACCTTCAAGGCAAATCGCAGTCATTTTTAGGGTTAAGTCTCCCAGAAAATAACTCCCCTGCTTGTAAACGTGCTAAGATATATCTGGCTTAGAGTTGTCTTAAGATGCTATTTTGGCGTAGTCAATTTACTTATGGTGTATGTCTTTGGACGGTGTAAGGAAACCGGGGGAAACCCATGGGAACACTGGGAGAAATTGCAAACTGTGCACAGAAATGCCGCCTGGCCCGGTAAGGACTCGAACCAGTGGAGTTTTGCTGTGAGGCAACAGTGCTAACCACTGGGCCGATGTGCCACCCTATGGACAGGGTAGGAGTAGGAGCGGAAAGGGGGATTCTTCACGACCAAGATGACTAGAGTGGAAAACTCTGGTTATTTATAGTATGTCAATATTCATCTGACTGGTGCAATATACAGAGCAGAAGCTGTACCAGTCCTGTTCAATCATAAGCACGTGATCCTCTTGAAATTAGTTTATAAATAAAACCACACTTAAAGTTTAGAGAAATTGGTGTGCTTTTTGAAAAATGGCATTATAGTTTTGAAAGGTTAATTGAAAAGGCTGTTGTAGTATTATAGTGTTTAAGAAAAACTGTAATGCAATAGTTGTATTTTATTTTATTTAACAGGAAGCCCTTTTAGAATCATTTTAAAACAGGTAACATTATAAACCACGGATGTGTTTAAAGGTGTTGTGTACACATTAAATGATTAATGAATAAAGAAATGTTTTTGAAGCAGCAATCGTACTTGCTTTAAGACTAGTTAAAACATTTAGCATGTTAAAATTTCAGCCCGACAAGTATAGTTTTCATGAAAACTAGAGTAAAACAGCAGTGTCTTCAGTGCCTTGAGTGTAAATGTGCATTAAAGAGTCGATATCTATAGTAGTGTTACATAATATATTACTTTTTCCGATAACGAATGGGCCATCTGGCAGCATGTATGTGCATATACTGTCGGTAAATAAAAAGCCACCTGACTGAAATACAGAAATAAAGTCACATAAAATATTTGACATGAAAAACCAAAAGACAAAACAAAGAATGGAAGAGCATGATGGGATCCTCAACAACAGTTCTGAGCAAACCGCGTCTCCACGTTGTGCTTAGAGACTGAAGCCGGAAACGGTCAGATGTTGTGCCGTATTCCTGGCCTCAAAGTACGATGTGTCAGTCTCGTTGTCAGGCTGTGGGATGAAGGGCATCGTCTGATGGTGTAGGTTTTCCCAGTCCACACCATCAAAAAACGGGTGATCCTTCAACTCTGCACAAACACAACACACAAAAACACGTGTTAGATTAAGATAAACTAATCCAACAGCCAGCAGTGTTGGGTGTGATGAGTCACAAAGTAACTAATTAGCGTAATTAGATAACTCTTCCACTGAAAAAAGTAAAGGCTTACACGGTGTCCTAACAACATGCTGGGCCGCGACACACAATAAAAGGTATCTTTGTCCTAACCACCTGTGACAAAATTTTAGAAATGCTTTCCATTTCCACAATGTCACAGCAGAACAACAGCATATAATAGATGATAAAGAAAACCTAAGGGACTGGTTATGTGCTTTATTCAGTGTTAAATGCTACCAATTTGAGTTTAAACACCATTTTACGTGGCATAATGCTGAAAGCAGGAGCACATAGTTCACCTCACGTCTTAACAATAAAAAAACTAGCAGACGGTTTGAAAATGAAAGTCAGAACTGGGACTCCAATAACATTAGTCGCTTAGTAGCCTATTACAAATGTTAAAGAGGTTTAATGTGATCAGAACCCCTTACCATTTCGGTGGGAGTCATCGAAAAGCAGCAAAACAGCTTTTATTGCATCGTTGTTATTTACCGATTTAAAGAATTCTGTACAGTTACATCCCTACTTGAAGTGTGACGAGATGCTTACTCCAAGAAACGAGATTGGGTTCACGAGGCGCGATTTTTAAACTCATTTTAAGAAATCTTCAATGATGAAATATATGAATGAAAAAAGCATTGTATTAATGAATTATATGTCTTTTTTGGATATTATTTTAAATATTAGCAAAATAATTGCTAAAATATGAATGGAAAAAAAGATTTTTATTCAGCTGAAAAAAAAGAAGTAAAACAATTTAGTTTTTTTTTTTAAATCCACTTGTAATGAATGGTATTTTACAATTAATTATATGCAGCAAAATATTTTGCTAACACCCCTGTACAGTTTCACATGAGAAATCAAACTCATGTTCACAAATTGAACTTCAAATTTTGGGTGTTTCCTTTTTAATTAATCAACAGTTTCACTTTAATTCAGCAACATGTCATGCCCCCGTGACAAGCTCTGAGCTACTGGATGCGAGTATGAAGTAAATAGACGAGAATAGTAAAAGACATATTGATTTAATCTTGTGAGATCTCATAACGCCAGATCTCGTCACATCCTAATCTCTACTGCATAAACAAATCTGAAGTTTTCAAGCCTGATTCACCTTTTAAGCCGGCCCGTTTGAGTGTGTCCATGGTGAGCAGAATCTCAATGGCATTTCTTGAATTTGGAGTCAACTCCTCTTCTCCGTCTGGCCATGGTATATCTGTACACATTCATTCATAAAGCACACGGGGATCAGAAAAAAGTCACCACAACCACCTCTTCACGGAGAAGAGCATTTGCTTACTTATGTTAATATGCAATTAATAAACACATTTTCAATTAGAACTAATTTTGACGTATGGTATGATACGAATTCAAAAAAGTCATATAGTGGAACTATCAAGTATGGAAGCCTGTTTTATTTGTATAATTTTGACTTTTCATTTTCTCTGAATTCTGAGAGTATGTTATGTTTACTTGGAAAAGCAAATTTATAGCTCATAATGTAGATGTAAACTCAAATATAGGAGAAACAGAGTCAGACTTGTGAGATAGACTCTATTATATATGTTTTTTAATCCCTGGCAGAAATAATTGTCTATAATCCCAAGATTATAATGAAGTGAAAATAAACACAACACTGGACCAAGAATAACCTTGAAGAAATGTAGGAAATCTTAAAGAGTCTTCATCCTTCTTACCTCTGTTGAGAATGTTCTGAAACACCAATTGAGGGGTCTCATCGTTGAAAGGTGGGACTCCCGTGAGAAACTCGAACAGACAAACACCCAATGCCCACCAGTCCACCATGAAATCTGTCAGAAAGCAAAAAAAAAAAAAAGACTCAAGCTCAGATTACTAAATGCACAACATTCTAGAACACACGTTAGAAAGTGACCACTATTATACAGCAGTGATAGCAGCGATGATAAGTTGATTTTTAGGGGGAAGGGAAACAGCAGAACACACAAAACCAGCATGACATGAACTCTGGTATCATGATAGATAATGTTACGTAATAAAAAAAAAAAATCTGTAAAAAGCTCAATGCTGTGTTTGGATGCACTAATATAATTATTTTGGCCCATATTTGGAGGACGATAACCAATATATGGCCAATAAATACATATCTTGATGTGAAATAGTTTCGGAGTCCAATTACAAAAACAAAATGCAAAAAACAAACAAACTAAAAAAAAAAAAAAAAAAAAAAAAAACAACAGTCAATTTATTGGATTTTAAAGGTGCTTTATGTACGTTTTTGACTCTTATAAAAAATAAAATACCATAATACGTTTGCAGATACTTGTTTATCTGAAAAGCAATGCTAGAGTCAGTTTTTCTTCATTGAAACTGTCTATTTCCGGCTGCGTCCGAAATCGCATACCTGACTTATTATCCAGTATGCGAAAAACAGTATGAGCTGAGTAGTATGTCCAAATTCATAGTATTCAAAAACAGTACGCGAGAAGTACCCGGGTGACCTACTCCCAGCGAAATTCTGTAATAAACATCCAATGTACGTTACACTATCCCATGATGCCACGCGAGAGATTCACACTATATAGAATATACTTTAAATGTCAATTAAAAAAAAATCTACAAAAAGTGGAAACTGCTATCAAACATCTAGATCTTTGATCTCACAAAATTATTTAAAGATTCAAGTGAACTTACTTATTTCTATAGTACGTTATACAATATAGATTGCGTCTTTACATAAACAGGTCAACAGGACAATAAAAAATAAAGGCCATAACAATATTATATTTAGTAGGTGATATACAGCATGTCAGGCTGGTAAAATTCTAATGTAGTTCTAGTTAGATTGAAACTGATTCAGTTTAGTTTAATATGAATTGTCACTGTTGATATTCATAATGAAAAACTCTCACACTGGTAACATCTTGTCCCAACATAATGGTGGTTTAATTGGTGGAAATAATCTATAATTTAGCAATCAATAACATTTACAATCTCATAAGTCTTAGATAAAATTTAAAGACATGAATACCTTCAAAGATATCTAACATAAAGCCTTAAGGGTGAGCTTTTTCCATTAGTAATAATAACATTTGACAAACAATAAATAATTGGTAAGTAAAAATAAAATATCTGTTTAACAACACAATTGCCGAGGCAAAAATAAATAAATCATAAAACACTAATGCTGGGATGTGCTGGGTGGTTTTCAGGATGTTGCTATGCAGTTGCTAGGGTGTTCTGGGTACTCAAAAAGATGGTCTCTCTTTGTCAAAGTCTTCAATTATGCAAGATCAGTTGTAGGGTACTCTGGAAGGCAATGGATTCAACTCAATATGCTATGTTTTTGCACTAAACTGGCACAAATTTTTTGTAAACCATCCCCATGGTTCCATTGTTAAGAGCCAACACCATCAGCAAACTCTGAAGTTAACATGTTAGTCCATTCTAACAAAATACAGCAATGTTTCGAAAGCACAACAAATCCCCCACCTGGTATTAAAAAGACCGTTCACACAAAAATGGAAATTCAGTCTGTTGTTCAATATGAAAGATATACTGAAGAACGTTGAATTGAAAAAAACCTCTACATAAAACAACAAAAAGCACTGTTAATTAGTCAAAGATAACTAAAGTGTCTCTTCCTAATAACAGGGTATCTGCGGGTTTCTAAAAGTTATATTTAAGACTTATTTTATATTTATATTTATATTTTATATTTTATATTCAACTTTAGCTCGTCATTTGTTAATAAACTGGTTGATGCAGCAATTATGAGCTATTGTTATCTGCGAACTTCAATTACATAAGCAAACTCCCAGTGAATGTTAATTACATAATCATATATTGGGTTCTGCCAACGACTAAAAATGGACTTTAGTTCCACCTATGTTGATCTGTGTGATGATAGACAACAAGGTTTAAGTAGATTTTAAAATGAAAACAAAGTCTTATTTACAGGGTCATTTGATAGCATTTTTAAGATCTCGGAAATGCAGACTTAAGACATTTAAGACTGATTAAAACCTTATTTTATACTACAGAATTTAAGACTTAAGGATTCAAGGATCTGCAGACTGGCCATAGGGAACACTGATGGTCAATCTGGCCTGCCACCATGAATCTGACCTGACAAAATGGAATTTGTTTGGTTGAGGCATTTTAGAATGCAAAAAAAGTCATTTTTACTAGTTAAAAATAGTAATAAAATAACATAAAAATCACATTACTTGAAATAAGTTACCACCAACTCTTAGTATGACTTCCTTGTTGAGGTGCGCTTTCCCATATGATGTTGCAGAAACAATCTAGCATTAGGTCAGTGAACGGAGAACAGTTGTTTTTTTTAAGACTGGTTTATACTTTTGCATCGTGTGATCGACATGACCCACGGCGCCTGCCTTGCGTGTAGCGGTGCATTTTGAAACGCTAGTTGGCAATAGCTTTTTATGTTCCTCTGTGTCTTGTTTTCTCGTAAGTGTTTTGTTTTTTCTGAATGCTCCCTTAAATGTACAAGTAGCTAAAACTCGCTCACTCCGAGACGGAAACCGGCGAACGTGCAAAAACTATCATAAGGTAAACACAAAACAACAGTTTTCATTTAAAGCTACTTCACTTTGACACGTGTAAACACTCACTCCAATATGTTCGCGCGGCTCTCTGCCCCGCCCACACTGGTCACAGCTACCAAGTGGCCAATCACAGAGCTTGTGCTATGCGTCGTTGCGATGTGTAGTTACATTTTTAGAGAGGTGCGCATCAGTGTCGGCATCAGCCACGACGAGGTCTATGCAACCCCATGAAGGCTGCACCGGAGCATACGCGCAGACTCGATGCAGAAGTATAAATTAGCCTTTACACTACAAATCAATGCACTCCAAAGCATTTTTTGACTACATCTAGAAAGTTGTGGACAAGCTCAAACATTTACACCTATAATTGTCTACTTGTGAACGGATTGATGAAAAACCAGGTGTAAACAAGACTGAAGTTAGCTTACACTTTTCTGGATATTTTACTCAAGTTGAATGCCCCAGAATTCCCAAGCACCGTCATAACATCCCATCAGAGTTCAGACAGCAGCAATACAGAAGCATTAAGGGTGATAAATCAAGAGCCGCCAAATCACAAAAGCTGTAACCCATAATGAAATTAGTCAGCCACGTCCTCGTCTAATGCATCAAAGATAAGCTGCCCGCACATGCACCAACAGCTTCATGGCATGAAGTCTGAGCCGAATACTTTTAAAACATACATACCATAACGTACAGGCCCTGAAACTAAAACATAATGGCTGTTAATGAAAGAAATTCAGACCCACTTTGTATTACATGTTTTTATGATTGCACAAATTTGTTCAGATATTCTGGCCACTTTTTATTCTTATCCAAAATTTGCTGCTAGTGAAGTATGTTTGTATGTTCAAAGTATTGTATGTATGGTTTATGTTAGGGACAAGTTTGATACATCTCATATTAATTCCACATTTTATACAGTTTCAGAAATAAAGGTTTAAAAGTGGTCACTGGTGCAGTACCTTTTCAAAAGGTACACCCGTAATTTTGTAATTACGTGGTAATTTTTAGATACTGATATGTATGTACTACCTTTAAGGGCCGGTACACACCAATCCAAAGCCGAAGAATTAGAACAGAGGAAACCCAACTGTGTTATTGCCTCACATCTGGACCAAAAAGCTGTGCATGAACACACCAACTGAAAGCCAACTCATTTCAGAGTGCACGTTCTGCGCCTGCACAAAAGCACATGTCTTTCCACATAGCAAGGTGCAGTTTCTGTTTTGTCGTTAGAACGGAAAAACTGAAACTTACGATGCACACGTACAAAGCAAAAACAAAGCAGCGTTTAGAACCATTATCACAGTAAATGGCACTCACCATGGAGGAATTTGCTTCTGCAACGGTGTCTAACAATCTAAGAATTTGCAAATATTTCAGAAATGTAGCGAAATTACAGCCGGCCTCTTTGTGTTCTTTCATGGCTTGAATTGTTCACTTGCCACGTCACTTCACAACATCACACTCAGGCTCTGATTCATTGCTGAATAACCAGTCAGAGCCCTCTCTTCAGTCGATGGATGATGCAGATTCGACATGCTGAATCAGGCCAACAAGCTCAGACATTAACCCGAAAAGGCTATGTGTGGAACACACCAAACCAACTAACTGGAACGACGGACCAATGAAGCCTAACATCTGACTGTCGGGCTTGTTCTTTCCCGGCCCTAAGGTATCAATATAAGATACGTTTCCATCCACCTATTTTTATGTGTATTTCGGAATACTACAAAAAAAACTTATATGCACAACTGAGTAGGATCAATTTTATTCTATATAAAAAAAAATAAAAAAATGCCTTTATTTATTGAATAAATTCCTGCATGCGCAAAAATAAATTTAAAATAAAAAAATTAAATTAAAGGTTGATTTTCTTTGAACATATTACTTGACAGCATAATGGGATGCAATGGGATTAATACACAAACCAGTGGACTGATCAAATTTGACAACATTTTAAAATGTTTTGGTCATTCTAAAATTTCTCAGCCAATGTCCATCATCAAAATGGCTCTCTCAAAGAGTGTCTCACACCTCCAAAAGCCACCATGTATGCATTGCATCTATATCTTCAGAGGCACAAGTACTTTATTTTTAAAGAAAAAAGGCTCACAGTGGCTTCTTCCAGTGCAGAAAATTCTACTTTTAATATTTGGCACCAGTTTTTTCACGAAGTGTTGATTTAGTTCTCTTTGACTTTTTGGATGAAAACAATGCTTTATTCACAAATGTTTTATGTAATATTCCAGTTTAGGCATAAATCTAATTCGCGACTTTGAACAGAAATAAAGCTTATATAGTCCCATTTAGCTGCTTTTCCCCTGCATGGTATGGTACTGTTGTCACAACAATGCATGCATTTACACTGCAGTAAATGTGACACAAACCAACTCACAGCACAGACGTAATGGAAGCAGCGGCTTCTGCAGACTATTTAAAAGTAGTGGGTTTGGTGTCTTATTGGTTTAAGATTATGGCTTGCTTGTAACCTCACCCAAATGGGTACTAAGTACCAGTTACTAGGTACAGAGCACAGAGGTAAAGCTCCCAAAATGAGCAGAAATAAACCAAACCATTTAGTGGAAAATCAACTTTTGGTACAATTGTGTACCTTTTAAAAAGATACCACCCCAGTGACATTATGGGCATTGGACACCCAGGGAAGCGTGTCTACAAAAGATAAACACACATTTAAAATACAGAACAACAAATTCTTACCATGAGGCTTGCCTAATAAAAGTTCTGGTGCCAAGTAGTCAGGAGTACCCAAAATAGGAGCCCCTTCAACACGTTCAGGACCTCTACGGACACTTTTAGGTGTCCTATAGGGAGTGTGAGACACAACCATCTGCTGGGGAGTCTAGGAAAAAAGAAAACATGACTCAGAAATGGTTAACCTTTATTTAATTTATACAGTGTAGATTATTTACAGTATGCAGTGTTATATTTGATTAGAATTTTCAGTTGATCAGGGTTCTCATGCTTTCACAAACAGCAGATACAAGGATTTTTAAACCACCATTAATTTTAAATCGAGCACTTTTGTAATTCATACCACAGCATATATTGTGCTGTGTTAACATGTTATCTCTCTACTTTGTTGATCTGAAAGAAGGTTATCCGGGTTACAAATAAGAGAGCGTGCGGGGGCGGGTTTTTTTATGGTGAAGGATTATTGAAGATATCTCGTATGTGTGCGAGGAGGGAATTAACGAAATAAAGAGTGCTTAATAAACCTCGTGTTTATTCAACTTTTTACGAACAGCAGATTCAATGATTTTTAAACCACCATTAATTTTAAATCTAGCACTTTTGTAATTCATACCACAGCATATATTGTGCTATGGAAGTCCTTACTGTACTTAACATTTCACTTAAACTTGATATTTACATTAAAATTTTAGATTAATTTTCAAAAACTGGCCATTTTATAACAGTTATGCTCAAAGAACTTCGATAAAATTCAATACTTTAAAAAACTAATTATTAGCAATAATCGAATGCCATTTCTGAAATATTGATTGATTGGTCAGTATTCTCGTACAAGATTTAAGTGTAAGATTTTGAATTTAAAAATTTCTCAGTTTTTTCATTCTGTTTTTGACAATTGAGTACAATTGTTGAAATAAAACCATAAACAAAGCACTATCAAGGACCTGTTTGTTTTTCCATGTACTTTACAGGCCTTAAATCCACATGTTGAAATTCAAGTACTTTCAAGAAGACTGAGAACCTTGGTTTATGTAAATGAAACTGAAACAATGACCAAAAACCAAACCAAACCATGAGAAGTATGTATTGTTGCACCTCTAGTGAGAACCATCCCTTTAAATAATTCTCCAGTTTTGCTTGAGTTCCTCACCTGGTAAAGAGAGTTGTTTAGACTGGGCCTTTTCTTCTGAACTGGAGTCACAGCGTTGTGAAAGGACGCTGACGCAGACATTTCCATGGCATCAAACGAGGCCAGGCTGAGATGTGACGTACATGAGCGGTTGATTGAGCTACAGTAGCTCCTAAACGCAACCACATTTTTGGGTTTGAGGAAGCCGGGTGATTTGATCATACTGTCAGACAGGCCATGAGGATGATCAAGCAGAGAACGCTCACATTCACCCCTGCGCTGCTTTGCGCTGCTATGCTTTGGTGTAGCAACCGTGGGTCTGGCCATCGGGGTGACTGCAGAAATCTCGTTTTCGTCCAACTCCTCAAAAGACGAAGATAAAACTTCTTGTTTGGCGTCTGACAGTTTTTGTGGCGTGTTAGCAACCAGTGACATCTCATGTGCTGAGACGTCAGACTCTAAACTTAGGCTTCTTCTGATGTTTCGCTCATCACCGGGCGAGGTTGAAGAGCTGGAGTTGGGCTCTGCTTTACCCCCCTCTTCCCCCTGATCTTCCAGTTCACAGAAGAGGTTTTTGGCCACAGCTATGGGACTAGACTGCTTTGGGCCAGTTCTCTCATTGAACTGTTGACATTTAGGTGCACTTTTAACATCGTCAAGCCCTACAATCGAGAAAATTCCAGTCAAGCCTGTGTGGGCCCTTGAGGTCTTCTCAGGAATCTGGAAGGATCTCTTGTACGCTGCGTCATTTTTCTTGCATAAAATCTCAGCCTGTTCTGGGCTTTTCTCAACCTCCTCAAATGTTCTCTTCACTGAAGATTTGAGCTCTTTTAGAGGCTCTGGTTTTATAAGACCATTCCCAACTGACTGATGAGGAACAGTCTTCTCCAATTTAGTGGCAGAGTTGTCAGTTGCACCAAACTGGAGCCTTTTTGCAGAAAGGTCTGGTTTAATATTCCTGCTGTTGTTAACTTGGTTATTGAGGGGAGTAAAAACAGTGCTGTGATCCTGAACTCGCGCTGGAAGCGTCTTCCTCTTTTCCACAGGAGTCAAGGGAACGTTTCTTGACTTTCTGTTGTCAACTTCTCTTCCATTCAGCTGTGGAATGTTCTCGACATCATGCAAGTTCTAGGATTAAATGACAAATTCAGAATGATTTACTTCATTGTATGCACATTACCATTCAAAAACCTAGAGTAAGTAATAGTGTTGTCACGATACTGGAATTTGATACCAACCAATACTGAGTTTTTCCCATCTTCCACTTATGCATGATGGAGGCTGCTGTGCTCATTGGAACTTTCAGAGCAGCAGAAATTTTTCTGTAACCTTCCCCAGCCTTGTGCCTTGAGACAATCCTGTCTCGGAGGTCTATAGACAATTCATTTGTCTTCATGCTTGGTTTGTGCTTTGACATGCACTGTCAACCCTGGGACCAGTACGGAGTTGATTTGAGCTCTGTTCAGAGCGTTCTTTAACAGCGCTGATTTGCCATTGTGTTCACGTTCTCAACAGAAAAGACTAGCCGCGAAGGTCATCAGTTCACTGAACTCCCTACTGTTTACTGAGTTTAACAAAAGATACACTGGAGCGTTTTAAAGCTGTGAAGATCAGCTGGTTTGTCTAGAAGCTGACATACAGTAGGGGGGATTTGCTAATGAATCGACTGGTCTTCACAGCTTTAAAATTATTTAAAATGCTCCAGTGTCCCTGTATATGTGTTTACACTCAGTAAACAGCAGTGAGTTTGGGGAACTGATGATCTTAACGGCCAATCACAGTCATTTCTGTTGAGCATGTGACGAAAAGAATAAAGGCTCAACAGTGATCAAATGTTAGGGGGAAGTGAAGTAGAAATGGTCTCAGTATCAATTGGCATCGAACTCCAGTATCGTGACAACTCTAGTAAGTAGTAGAAAACAGCACTTTTATTCTGAAAATATGTTTTCAGCAAGCAAAAAAAAAAAAAAACAACAACATTTAAATAGTTAGAAAGTTTTCTTAAGACAGGGTTTCTGCAAGGACCTTTTTAAGACCATGACATTTCAGACTTGTATAAGGCTTTATCAAAAAACTAATTCTGATAAGTTATTTCTTAGCCACATATTTTAAATAATGTGTCAAACAAGCAGAGCCTAGTTGTATACATTAGAGCTTAACAATAAGGACTGCCTGATGATCCGGAGCCAGCGTGCGAAGCGGGATTGTTACCTGATCCAGGCAGTGCAGCCTTGTCACTAAAGGTTCATTTGCCTTTGACTATTTGTCAATATATTAATATTATGACATAAAATATAAAAATAAATTAAATATCAAGGAAGACTCTGTTGTTGTTTTCCCAAATGGCCATAACTAAACACATTTTATACTTAGTTGTACACTTAGTTTAATGTTAAATAAGAAAGCATTATTTATTGCACATTAATAAATTGTTTTCATTGCCATTGGTTATTGTTTATTACACTGTGATGATAATTTATGCTATTTTTATCTTTCCCATCATCATTTAAAATCAATATTTTAAAGTGTTTTAAAAGTTTTATCTGTCGGTCTGTCTGTCTGTCTGTCTGTCTGTCTGTCTGTCTGTCTATCTATCTATCCATCTATCTATCCGTCTATCTATCCGTCTATCTATCCGTCTATCTATCTATCTATCCATCCATCCATCCATCCATCCATCCATCCATCCATCCATCCATCCATCTATCTATCTATCTATCTATCTATCTATCTGTCTGTCTGTCTGTCTGTCTGTCTGTCTGTCTGTCTTTCTGTCTGTCTACCTATCCGTCTGTCTATCTATCTGTCCGTCCGTCCGTCCATCCATCCATCCATCTATCTATCTATCGTTTTTAATGTAATTTCTTTGCTACTTTGTCTTGGTCAGCCAAGCTATTTCTCAAAACCCAATGAACCAAAAGCTACGGATGCGGATACACCACCTGCTCATCTTCCCACATAGGGCTGACGCAGT